CAGAACAAGTGTTTTTTTTTTTAAATAGATAAAAACTTTTGGGTTTTAAAAGTTTTGATTAGAACAAAGGCCCAATTTTACAACTTTTAAAGAAATTCATTTGGCTAAAATAAAATTAAAAATAAATATTTTATAAATTAAATTAACCCGTTAAATGGTAATAAATTAGGAAAAAATATTTTTTTGTGACTCCTGAAAAAACCCAAAATTTTAAATGGGGCCCTTAATCCAGTAAGCGTCTCAATTCACTAATTAAAGTTATTTAATTGCAAAAATGTACTGTTATTAAATAGTAGTAAACAACTAATAAATGCCACGTTTAAACAAGAGCAGCAGCAATAGTATGTCACTTGTTTAAATTGTTTACTGGATGAACGTTAGGTTTTAGCGAAGAAAGTGCCTTTAAAAAAAAAAAAAAAAATCTTACAGATTTTGCACATTGTAAGTATGTATAATATGTAAAACTGACCTAACCGTTTAGCTGTCCTAAAACGAATCGTTGGGAGGCAAAAAGTACATAATTTTAACGACTACCAGGCGATGGATGCAATGGAATGGATTCAAATTTATTCAGAACGACACTTGCCATTAAAAATTGTAGTTATTTTTGACGTGACTACCGAAAGCTTGAAGAATGCAATAATAAATTGAAAATCAATTTTATCGTGTTCCGGATGTACTGGCGTGAAAACACACAAAGTGTACACGGGAATGCATGTCGGTTCGATCCGAAGACACGGTTGTGTGTATTTTCATTGTTGGCTGCCGGTCTTGTGTTTACCCGTGATTCGTTAAAATCGGTCTGTGTGCTTTTCTCCGAACAACCCTTACACACACCACGTAGACATTGTGCATACAGGGCGATCCGTTTACCGCAAGACACTCGATATCTATTGGAATAATTGAAATTTCTTATCCGAGTACAGTACAGCAGCTCCTGCCCATAATAATATGGTCGTTTGCCAGTAAAGTCACTGTAGCGTTCTTGCCCCCCCCTCCCTTTTTCTTCCCAAATCCTGATTCGTACTCAGTTGAATTGATTTGATAAATCGCAAACAATTTAGATCGTTTATTTTTTATACCTTGTTTGAAGAAAAAAAAAACAATAAATCACATCACTTTTTTGACGGATTACCAAATTTAATTTAATACACAAAATTGAGTAGATAACAACACGTCAGTTAGAAATGTGTATAATTAATAACAAAAAACTAAAATATTGTTTTTTTTTTTTTGTTTATGTTATTTTACACTGTTATAAAAATTATCAAATATTATTTTTAACTTTTTCAGTCAACATTTTCAGCAAATAATTTTTAGTTTAAAAAGTTATTAAAACATACCTATCCAGTACCACTATACAATATTTAACGGTACAAGTTTTAACAGTTGGTCGGTCGCTAGAGTTTAGTTAATATTTTTTAACATGGGTAATATGTGTTATTCGGCTGGACACAACTTACAAGAAATTTCATGTCACCATTTTCGCGCGTAATACTTTCACTTTGAGATAAGAGATAAGTGATAACAGATATGATACGATAAATAAAGATAAGAGATAACGTATCAATGATTCAATGTTTTTCAGATAGCAATTAGGTTTTGTTTTCAATGTAACAAATAAACTAATTTAAAAACAAAAAAGGTTAAAAAAAATCATTGATGTATACACATAATTTATTAGTTTAATTGTTATAATACAATATATTGCTATGCTATCTCTTCGGTTTATATTGTTGTATAATTTATGCGCAATGTACAGTGTACTTATTGCACGCTCGCGGGTGTTCAGTTATCACATAAAAAAAGAAGAAAAAAATATACAATAATAAAATTATAACATACAACGCCAAAATGTCCCCAAAAAGAAAAACTACAAAGCTGTGATTATTTCTGCAGAAAATAGTATCGTCTTGAACGTTGAACGGATCACTCTGTATATATACTATATACTTTAAGGTGGACTTGTGCTGTTGTATAAAACGTTTTGATTTCGTTGCACCCTCGTTTTGTCTTTTTACTCTTGTTGGCAGTTCAACTCGTTCGAAAAGGGCAGGCGTAAGCGTTTTTTTTTTTGTAAAAATTGGACCGGTAAAATGGAAATAAAACAGGAAAGAAAGTAGGGGGAAAACCCCGCAGTTACGAGGGTCCTGTTTGGGAAGTTAAAGTATACCTACACAAGTTTCCTTCGTGAATTCACAGTGCATAATAATAATAATGATGATGAACGCCAACTTCTTCGAGGAGTCAAACGGGAATTGAAAAAAAAACACTATTAGGTGATTTTTTTTTTCTTTCACCAAAACAATCTTAACACTTCTTTGCCGAAATACAATTTTAGCTTCTTGCCACCGATGGCAAAAGTGCTCGGTTTGAATTAAAGCGTTTTTTTGTTTTGCACAATAGCTGTCTGTCATTTTTCAACATGCCTCAAAACATCATCTAGACCGTCTTAATAATATCTCATCTTCCATGTTTTTTTTTCCAGCCACCGTTCTCGGTTTGTTGCAGCTCAACAATTTATTTTTTGTTCTGTGTTTATTTTGATTACTTCCAAATTGGCCTAACCAGTTATTGTGAGATGATGGCCTTAACAAAAATACCTTGGTTAGTATACTGACTACAGCACACTTGGGTTTCTTGAGCTGTATTCGATATGTGATAGCAAAACTTGTACAATTGAATATCAACTTGGAGACAAACTAACGTGGAAACTTTACTAAAGACCACTTAGATAAATTATAATATAAAATATTAGTCGACGGTTTTGTAGTGCCACAATTGGCGAACTTCCAGGTGACACATTTTTAATCCAACCATGCTATTCGCAATTTAAAAAAAATTTGAGTTGATCGGTTTGGCATCTGAGCGCTTCATATAATCTAGAGTAATGTAAGGCATTAAAAAAAAAATCTTCCTCTTTTATGAATCATGACACCCACCTAACCCACCCTACACACCCATTAAAAGGTATCACTTTCCTTATCTTTTATTATAATTCAACAATGGAACAGATTTTGATTTTTCTGATAAGCGTCATGCAAATTATTTTTGAACTATTAATTAATGAAATTGACTACTCTTATCTATTAAGCCTTATCAACTTTTATAATCTAGTCCTAGTAGTAGTCTAATAAAATATATATTTTATAATCTTGTTTTTAAGTTTATTCAATATGTATCTGTTATCTACTTTAAGTTATTCTCTATTGTTGTCAGCTATATCACTATATTTTAAAATGGACATTTTAAATACAGTAACCTGTGTGGTAACCGTATAGATACATACAATACCCGGTAACTGGTAAGACTCGTTCAGTTTCGCGCCAAAATCTACATTGCCGGCGTCACGCATAGGCAATTTGGCTACTCGAGTGTATATCGTATTAAATGCGACATGATATTACAATTTTTTTTAATTCTTGGTTGGCTTTATCAGCAAATCTTTTTCAATAGTCTGACAGGAAACATCCACTCAACATGACACCCTTCTGTCTTCATCGTCCTGATTGGTTTCAGCCGAAGGATATTGTGGAACTTTTAACAGTAAATGTACAATTCAGTACAAAACTGAACGACCTAATGATGTTGAAATATTTTATAAGTCTATACTCGGCAATATGTATTTATAAAAATATAATAATTAGTTTAAATAACACAAAATCTACTAATTGTAAATGACCTTCGGTCAAACTGATTAACTCTATAAAATGAAATTTCTCAGGACAAGCAGTCAAAGTTATTTGAAACAATGTATGTAAGTACAATTGCCAACGTACTTAGCGCATTCAAGTGGTGAAACTACTCAACTATGGAGTTATTTATCTTGGCCACTGAAAATTATACACTTTTTTAATCCAACCATGCTGTTATTCGCAATGCGAAAAAAATTGGAGTTAATCGGGTTGGCATTTGAGCGCCTCATATAATCTGGAGTAACGTAAGGCATTAAAAAAAAAAAAATTGACGACTCTTATCTATTAAGCCTAATCAAGTTGTATAATCCAGTTCTAGTGGTAGTCTAATAAAATATATATTTAATAATCTTGTTTCTAAGTTTATTCAATATGTATCTGTTATCTACTTTAAGCTGTTATTCTCTACTGTTATCAGCTATATCACTATATTTTAAAATGTGCATATGGGTCACCCTGTATAAAAAATCGTTCTATAACCGTTTGCACGCGCTTTGTGGAGGACAAAAAGGACCCGGTGCTGCATAACATCTGTACGATTCGTATAGTATTTATAATAATACATTGACGGTGGTGTATACTATGTCACTAGACCGTTTGGGCCGTATAGTTTGCTCATCCGTCCGTTAAATTCCCGCAGGCTGTCTTTGGCTCGTCCTGCGAACGTTTCCAAATGTACCGAAAGAGAGCATTCCGGAAATTACACCATTTCCCGTCTATACATACAATATAATACACAAGCGCGGGGTCTTACCTGCTCCGGGACAGTTTCGGATATTAACTTGCCCGACAATGAGTGACTACTCGTGTCTTCCAATGTCTGACAATTCCCAAACGTTGTCGGGGATTTTCTCTGAACTGCCAAAAAGAAAGTTTCGCCGGACCTACAAGTATATTAAATAGTACTGTTGTACTTTGTTCTGGAGAAATCTTCAGACGTGCCCTCGCCGTCTCGAACGAAAGGTAACATATCCAAACACGGTATCACACACACACACTTGTCTTGTGAAACAATTCGATAAGTTTAGCGCTGTAACAAAAAACAAATGAGTGTCTTAAAATGAGAGTCTAGTTGTGTAAAAAATAAGCGTATTATATCATATATATTGGTGTGTTCTTTTTTTTCCAATTTTTCTATCCTTTGGAATAAAAATAATAATTAATATTCTGTAAACAGGATGTGTTGCCAACTTAATATTATTTTTTTAGTTGTCAGACAATACTTGAATACTTCCACTGATGACAAAAATTCTTTACAAAATCGCAGTTGATGAAAATATTAACAATGTATCTTTTATGTTTCAGAAAATCAACAATATCGACGACAATTGTATGTAAGTAAAGCACAATATTATACTTAAAGCAGTGTACCGTTTTAATATTAATTTGGCAAAGTAAAAAATAACCGATACTGTAACGTGTGTGTGTGTGTGTCTCCGGGGCCTAAGCTATAATATTCCATTTGTACACTTAGCGGTTTTTCTAGTAAACACATTTATCAACCGAGATAACACATCCCTTGCTTTCAATATAATCTTTTTCATGCCAATGGGGTAAAGTTTCCCTTCTTGGCAACCACTGCGGACATAAAAAAAAAAAATTATCCCAGTAAATACAACACATTCCTGCGCTGTAATAATATGGTCGTTTATACTATAAGAACATTTGGCATGGATTTGTACTGCCAGTGAACTCTTTACAGCTTTCTTCCCCTCTTTTTTCCTCAAATCCTAACGCAATTTGTACACATAATGAATTGAAATCACAACAATTGAAGTGGTTTATTTTTTATATCTTATACGTGGAAAAAAAAACAATAAGAATAATAAACTAAGGTCTTACCAAATTAAATTGAATAGCGTTTTGAAATTTGACTGTGAGCACAAACCGATTCGAGTAAGTACATGTTTAACGGTTGGAAACCATTAGTTGTTGTGGTTAACTGCCGCCAAGTACGAAATTACATAACAAGAAAAAATATATCTTTTAAAAGATGTAGTTTCAACTGTAAACACACTCATTGCCGTTACCGCGAAATGTCTAAGTTAGTTGTAGTTAAGTCTTGAGGTGTAATCGATGAAGACTTTTTTTGTTGAAGAACAAACGTCGTCGAGTGAAGTATAGTTTTTTTTTTCTGTTGTTTTTGGTAACCCGTGAAATGAGTTTAGAGGGTGGAAAAAAAAAAATAATAGCACCAAAGAAAACGTCAATTTTTTTTTCATTGTCTATGAAAAGATCTTCCGGCAAAAAGTGTAACGCAGTAAAGTAATGTTGTTTGGCAAACAATCAGCAAAAGCGCTTTTCTCGACCGCATTGTCTTATCCATTTTCTTTTGTTGGATTTCCATCATAATATTTTATTTGACTTTTTCCATTAGGTTTCATCAGCTATTGCACGCAAACACAATGCTTCAAGTTTTATTCACTCAAATTCATATTGTAACATAACCGCGCAAATATCAGATTAAATCTGAAAATCATTAAAAATGCTTATTTAAATGTCTTAATTGAGGGCACGTTGAAAATGCAGGGATTTGTTAATTAAAAATAAGTAAACAAAAACTTAAACGGAAAAAGTTTTTGCACAGAAAAAAAGTATTCTCGGAGATAATTTAATCATTTCTTTTAATCGAAGAAGTGAAATTAAATTTATTTAAAGTATTGCTCACGGTTGACTACTGTAAGTGCAAAAATAAAAACAATTACTAGTGCAAAAAGCAAATGTCGAAATTTGTAATTAGTTATTTTAATTGACAATGAAAATTATGCCTCTTATTATTTTTTTGTTTTTCTGCACAAATTTCATAATAAGACTTCTGCAAATTAATTATTGTTTTTTAAAAAGTCATCAAAAAAACTATAGCTGCGGTTCAGGAAATTACTTGGGAAATTACTTGGTAGATATAATACAAAATTTTTAAGCAAGTGTGAGCAGACTATAGCAATAGTGGAACTGTTTTCCATTACCGGTTGAACGGTTTATAAGTGAATCAATGTGCCTTCAGCCACAATTATCAATTTTTATTAGACATTTTCCAGACATGTTCCTTTTCGTGTTGGCCATAAATATTATTGGCTGTGTTCAATGTACCACCTTTGATAATTGGATTTACCACTCGGTCCCTGTTGTATGTATTTGTCTACCTGATGTTTGTTGCTAAAATATGTGTTTTTAAATGTAAACTGAAGTTGGGATAATATAATAATTATTAGAATCCATCGAGCTCAATGGCCGTTTGCAAAAGAGCTTCTCATCGAAGCTGAAATATTATTTGTATCCGTTTGAGACGTTCATTTGTCGAGATCTAGATGTTAGCATTTAATTTCCAAGACAAAATATAACTTTATTGTTTCGGTTGGCGTCGACGGACCATTAAGTATATTATTAAAGAGCTTGGCGTTTTATATTCCATGTAAATATATTCATAGCTGTAGATGGCCAACGCCTATTTGATAGTCGTTCTGTCATTACAACCGTGTATACTATTGTAGTTTATTACACGTCTTGTGCTCTGTGTAAAAGTAGTGCCACAAATGGATATACACCACTGATGTATGCATAATAGTATTTACAATAGTTTAGAAATTATTAGATAAGCAAAATGCATAATTTATGATTATGCGTTCAGCTATAATGCCATTAAAAAACAAAAAAAATTGTACTATTATAATATACATTTTATTACTAGTGACATTGTATATTAGTATGTTATAGTTCCACTCTAGATGTATCTTCGGTCTAATTATAGAATATTCCATACAAATATGGAATTAGTTTTGATTTTAAAAAAAAAAAACGACAATATTATGTACATTTTTTGGTTGTTTTTCATCGATTTTGAATATTAACGAGTGGGCTTTTTAAATTGTTGGCCCAATTAATTAATCTTTCAGATAAAGTATTGTTAATGTTGTACCGACTGATATCAAGAAGCAATCATCTGTGCATCAGTTCAGAAGGGACATCGTGGGTCCAGAGATACAAAGAAATAAAGTAAAAACAAATTATTCTAAATATATTACCTTCTCAGCTCTGCACCACAGCTAAAACCATTAAAATGCTAATAAAATTTAAAAAGTACAAAAGTTAAGAGCATCCACACAGATACATCAATACATCACTTTGGTTTTAAATCATAAATAATGTAATTGTTTTTCAAAAAGATCAATTTTTCTTTTTAATTTTCCTCAACTCTGTGTACTTTTTATTAAAGTTTAAAATTTACTATAGGAGGGAGTGTGGAATTTAATATTATTTTTATATGCGCTCACTACTCTACTAAACTTTAACAACAAAGTACTATTAACTAGCCGGGTAAGTACTTTAAGTAATATAACTATTAAGTATTTATCCAAAACTGACATTTCTGTGTAGACTAAATGTTAAATATATTAACTAACCGAAGGCTTGCTGATGATTTTCCGGATGAACGTCCAGAGATAAATGCCAGTTATATGTGGATCTTTCCGGGACAAAGTAAATCATCGGACAAGCGCTAATTTTTAAGGTGAAAAAGTAAAAGTTCACCGAAACTACTTAATTAGAGGATTGGAAGTAATTAATTTAAAGCAGCCGCCATTCTACGTGACGGTTTTTCATAAACATTCTCAGCAGATGGTGGAAACACTGTGAGCGGTAACTTTGTTTTAATTACCCAAGCCTGTAGCTAATGCGGTAGGTAGTTATTATTTTTTACATCCCAAATGAATGTTGTCAAAATAACTGTTAAGTCTTAGCAGCTTTTTGGGACATAATGCGGTTACTAAGTACACTATCACCGCAGATGTAGATAATAAAACGTATAATGATATTTTTTGTTTATAATGGTATTCAAAAATACATATTTTATGGTCATTAACTTATAAAATATACTCCCTTGCTTGACCTATCAACTGTATACTTCCCTAACCTTCTCATCAATTGTTATTTGCACATTCTTCAGCTCTGATTACATAATATTTTGTGCAAATAAACCACAAAACTAACCTGTTTCTAAGCAGTCCGATGTGGTCAAGAAACAATTAGGGTTTTAAGAACATATTTGAAGACATTTTCCTTTTTGAAATAATTATGATAATTACGCCATCACCTCTTGCAATACTCATAGCATTTCAAAATATTAGTTATTCTGCTCGAAATAATTTCCTAACGGTCAACTGGCAACGTCTTAACAATCAATACGAATTTCTACATTATTATAATGACGAGCGCCAATGGTTTTCATAGAATTTAATAATTACAAAACCAATCCGACGTTTCTTACAGCTTGTATCGATTGTAAAAATATTTGGCAAATACTGAGCCATAATATAAAATACATGTTTTCGATAAAAGGAAAATATCCAATCGTTTTGATTGATATGAATTCCGTCTAAGTCGTAGTGGCAATCCGTTGGGTTGGAATATTATCATCGACCATCTTGGCTTGGCTTTATTATATTTATTCTGCACGGTTTACTTTAATAATGAAAACCGAAATGGAGTATTGTTATTGTTTGAACTAAATCCTCAGAATATTGTTATGGCCACCGACATTAGAGATGCCTGTTTATGTCGTTCACTGGCATTAGAAGTACGTGTACAGACAAGTTAACGATTTAGGGCTTAATTATTCGACAGACAGACTTGATTTATTTCCACATGTACATATCGTTGTGAAATATTAAACAAAATTGTATTCGGCGCAAAAATCACATTATTTTTTCAAAATCTTATTCGGTTTATCCGACGAATTGGAGCGCAAAAAGTTTCTATACGTCCAGTACCGGCTTTCTAGAAATACAATTAAATATAATAAAGAAAATAAAACTGAGACGACGCAAACTTGGGGTAAGCTTGAAGATGAAAAGAGTATGCTACCGTTTGTGTACACTGCAGTGCAAACCGTACACACACATTTGGAACACACCGGATATTCTATCCATAATTTATTCCTGTATGCCTAAACTCAAAGCGTTTCAATCGCACCATGAATAATGTATATTTCAAATTAAATTTATTGACGATGAAGTGGTATTTTCGCATTTGTGCGTTTATAATAATACAATTGTAGTGCGATAAAAATCAATGCGAAACGTTCTGTCCGGGTTTTACACAATTATTACATTACCCATACGGTTTGGTCCGCCCAAAGGGTTCGAAATCCATGTGAATAACTAATTTTTGGGTTTTCAGAAGACTTCTGGTCGGCCAGCCACCTGAAATATATATATTTGAAAACTTGATATCAAAAAGCGCCGCACAGGAATCTTAGAATTATTACATGTGTGTTTTTTATTCAAAGCAAAAATAACATATTATCTAACAAGAAGAACTGATCAGGAAATTCTATAAG